GGATACAGATGTGGGTAGAGATCCAGCATGGAAATGAAGCCAATCTTGATCAGAAGCGCAATCAGATACATGAGGTTCTCGGGGAGTTCGTCGGAGGCATCGCGGACATCGGATGCGTAGAACTGGAGCTTGAAGCCAAGCAGTTGAGCGGCGATGCTGTTTCCTGAGGGAGGGAGTGTTTTGGTCTGCTCCATCCACTCGTCGGCCCATTTCCGAGCTGCCTGCTGATTCGACAGCGTCGCGCCCTCTGCGGGTAATGTCTGATCCGGCTGCCGGTTGTTCGCAGTAATACGACGGCTTCCAAGCTCAAAGTATGCCTGGATGCCTGCCCTGTCACCCAACTCGCCAACACGCTGCCAGAATTTGCGATCGCGCGACTCTCGTAGCCGTGATTGTTCATCCTTCTCTTCGTCGGTATAGTACCACTGTTTCGCATCGGGTCGTGCCCATTGAGGAAGTGTGGGTACTTCGGCCTCGTCCCAGGTAATGTTGTCGAAACCACGTAGCTCGGGCCACCATGCGCTCGTTCGCAACAGCTTGACGAAGAACCTGCCGTGCTTGACAAGAAGGTTTGCAAACACATCCAGTGTCACGTCGAGGACTCTTCCAATGTCTAGATCGAATGCGCCAATGAAGGCATTCACCCGTTGCCAGGTCTCGGCGACGACTTCTTGTGTAGGCGGTTCGTTGTTCACAGTGGTGAAGTACTCGGTCATGAGCTTGGAGTAGCCCTCGGTCTCTTCGCGTAGGAGGTTGTAGTTGGACTGTCGGTATAGGGCGTGGGTTGCTTTGCGGACGGCCATCTTGGAGAAGCTGTCGCGAACGAGGCCTAGGGACTTCAAGAGGTCGTTCTCCAGCTCGGCTCGCATGCGCGCGGGCTCGATGTCCGTTGCGACAAGCATTTGCCGTACGGACGCGTGTTTGCTTTCATCCTGCGTGAGCGTGCTGAGCGTGCTCAGCGTGTCGAGAAACGTCGAGACTGGGTCGAGCTGGTCGTCAGCTGGGGCGGATGTGATGTCGCGTACTATGGATCCCAATTCACTGGCGTCTAGCAGCTGGCCCATAGACGCCTCGATGATCTCGGTGAATATGACCGAGAGGGTGAGTCTGTCGCCTGCACCCTGGGCAGCCACAGCAGCCGTCACCACGGCGTCGCGTGCCTGGCCATTCCAGTGAGCGACGCGCTCTGGTGTCAGGAACTCATTGCTGGCTGGAACCTCGCGCGGTATAGAAGGCGTCGAGGGCTGTGACGGAGTGGGCGCTGGCGCAGGAGTGGATGGTGCGGCCTGAGGTTGCCGACTCAATGGGAATGTGTTTGCGGGTGGAGACATGGCAGTCGGCGATGGGTGTGAGACATTTGGACTTTGCGGAACACTCGAGTTGCCGCCGCGTCCATTGTTCCTGCTCCCACGCCTGCCACCGCCGCCGCCGCCGCGCGGGCTGTTAGCTTGCTGCTGCTGGCCGTGCGAGAGTCCGAGGTTCTGGGGGCGATGCGGCGACGGTCGTCCGCTGCGGTCGTCGTCCTGGGAGTAGGTGCGGTCGCCCCGCTTGCGCTTGGGTGGAGGAGGCATGATGGCACCCTCTTACGATCGAGAGACCGGCGCGAAAAGAGAGTCGATGCAATGTGTGGAGAGCATGCGGCGCTGGCTCGCGAATGGGCCGGGGTGTCGGTGATGGATAGGCGCGCGCCGCAGTCGACAATTAGTGTAGGGACTGGACGAGGCGGCAGGTTGATGGAGAGTTGGCAGCGCCAAATCGGGGAGTCGCGTTGGGGCGGGCGCGGGTTGATGATGGAGCGTGTCTCGATTTCGTGAGGCTCAAACCCTGGGAGCTCCGACTAGCGCAATGGCTGACGTGAACCCAGGGCTGCAACCGTGCATTCCCCATCCGTCCTCCACCAGACAATAGCAAGACACGTTTTCACCCTCACTTCAGACTACAATAGGCAAGAATTGGTCGTACAATCTCGTTCATCAGTCAATGATATCTGGCGTATTAATCATAATCACAATAGAAATATGCGAGACTTAAGCATCACGGCAATATGCACAATGGGGATGTACTTGCGCAGACGAATGATGAATAGATTTCGCTGCGCTGTCAACGCGTCGTCCAACTACATAGGTCTCAAATAACGAAACGAGCGACCAGACCTTCCCAGACATTGCTTGATCCAGATATCTAAGCCGCAGCAGCAACGGCCTGAGCTGTAGCCTTGCGCTCATTCTCAAGCACAGCCTCGAGAATTCCGGTCGCACCCTGGCCAGACTTCATCTCGTTGATAACGTCAGTCAGACCGAGCTGCTCGTCCGTCCAGAGAGGAGCGACTTCCTCCTTGCCAGCCTCACCGACGCCGATGAAACCACCCTCGGCAGCCCATTCACTTGTGCGCTTGATGCCCAGCTGGTTCCAGACAGCGTCGACGGCCTCGACTAGGTGGTCGCGGTACTCACGGATATGGCCTGGGGTAGGCGTAATGCGCAGGCGCTCTTGGCCGACAGGAACGGTAGGGTAGTTGATGGCCTGGACGTAGATGCCCCAGTCTTCCATAAGCATGTCGGACGCCTTCCTGGCCACTTCGGCGTTTCCGACAAGGACCGGAATGATGTGGCTAGGGTTCGGGATAACGGGAATGTTCTTTTCGTTCAATGCATCCTTGACTGCACGAGTGTGCAGTTGCTGCAGGCGTCGATCGCCCTGGTAGTTGGCCTGGTATTCGATGGCGGTCTTGGCACCTGCCATGGTCGCGGGCGGGAGCGAAGTAGTGAAGATGAAGCCAGGAGCGAGCGAGCGAATGGTGTCGACGAGTCTGGTAGAGCCAGCAATGTAGCCACCAACGCAGCCGTATGCTTTTCCGAGAGTGCCAGTGATGATGTCTACGCGGTCCTGAACGGTGCCTTGGGGTCTGCCTGCCTTGTGGGCTTCGAAGTCGAGATGCTCAGCAACACCGGCGCCGTGTGGTCCGTACATGCCTACGGCATGGACTTCGTCCAAAAAGGTGATGGCTCCGTACTTTTCAGCGAGATCACAGATTCCCTCAATGGGACCAATCGAGCCGCACATGCTGTATACACTCTCAAATGCGATGATCTTGGGGTATTCGGAAGGAATTGATTGCAGTTTCGCCTCAAGATCTGCGAGATCGTTGTGCTTGAAGACCATCTTCTTCGCGCCCGAATGGCGGATGCCTTGAATCATAGATGCGTGGTTCAGGCTGTCCGAGAGGATGACGCAATTGGGCAGCTTGCTTCCGAGAGTCGCGAGCGTCGCATCGTTGGCTACATAGCAGGATGAAAAGACAAGCGCAGCCTCCTTGGAGTGAAGCTTCGCGACCGTGTCTTCCAATGCTACAGCGTGCTGGTTGTGTCCGGAGATGTTCCTGGTACCTCCGGCGCCGGCTCCGTAGTTGTCCAGGGTCTCGTGCATCGACTTGAGGACGTGCGGGTTGCGGCCCATGCCGAGGTAGTCGTTGGAGCACCAAACCGTCACCTTGTCCTCGGGCGACTCCTTGTGGGCGCGCGGGAACTCCTTGGCCAGACGGTTGATGTTGTTGAAGTAGCGGTACGACTTGTCCTTGTGCTTCTTGTCCAGCTCATTGTGGTAGAAGCCTTCGTAATCGAACGTAGCGGCTTGCGGGGCGGATGCGGATGCGACATTCGAGGGCTTAGTGTTCGCAGGCTTCAGGGCTGCGTGTGGGAATGGTGGTCCTGGGCGATGTTAGCCAACAGTTCGACATTTTCTGCTACGTCCAAGATGCGGTCTCTCGGCTTCGTCGGAATTTCGTACCCTGCTTGCCCCTCAGACTCTCGAGATCCACAGCCTGGGCTTCCTTGGACGCCGTCGTGTGCAGCCTGGCGCGGTTCACGCGGGTGTGGTAAGCACGCACACCGCCGAAAGCGCCGGCAAGAGCGTTGTTGCCATTGCGGGAGCTCTGGACGGCAAGCGCCTTGCCCATGATGGGGCAGCGACGAGCGATGACCTGGAGGTTGGACATGCTTCCAGCGCCGGGGGAAACCTCCTGGCGGGTGGCCGCCGTGGTCGTGGTAGAAAGGGAGCGGAGCGTGGCGGGTGACGTCTTGTGTAAGAACGGGCACATGGACTTCGACTGGCGCAAAAGAGCCTCCATGTTGGTCAAATGCGCGGCGTGGGTGGTTTACGGGTGTATTGTAGATGTGCGGGCAGATTGGGTGTAAGGCGAGGTGAGGAAGAGTGCGAGAGAGAAAGATGGTTGGAAAATGTGTCAAAGATGCGACTACATGAATTACATGCGGTAATAGCGCGGAATCTAACATGCCGGGCGTCGGCATCAAATGCACTCGTCATGATTGGCCCACCTATATTAGCTTGCAGTGCTGCCGACGCCATCTTCATCAGCGGTACGGTAGTCCGGAGAGTAATTGCTCGGATAGTTCCATGGTTCGCACTGCGCCTGCGAAGGGTCCTGGGTCTGGCTCACACTGTAACTTGACAGCACCCGCAATGCCGCCTCTCAGCCCGTCCATGATACCTCTAATGCGACTCCACGCTTTGCATCCAGTCGCCACCTTTGTTCACCTCACTGCAGAAACCTGGTCGTGTTCCAACTCAATCGTACAACACTTGAACTTCAACTACTCAGGTGTAGTCTGTGATCTTAGCGTACCCCGCCTTTTGCCCGGCGACCTGGCCTCTACCCTCTAACTCGGAGCCGCCACCGTCCCATTTCGTGAGGTTGATCTCTACGATTCCAAGAGGATCTGCAATCCAAAGGCCTGGATAGTACGTCTCTCCAAAACTTTCGTCTGCATACCTCGGCCTGCACTCAGTCATGGTCGTGCTTAGCGTACAGTGCGGAACTGGAAAGTCTTGCCGAAACACGCCGCACGTGGTTCGATAATTCCACTCTTCGGCATCTTTGCTTGAGCCAACATTTCATAAGCCGCCTGTCAGACCTGAGGCCTAGACCTTCCTGCAAGACGGCCCTTTCTGGAGGACAAGTACTTGAAAAAGATGCCGCTGGCTCAGTCATCATCAGAAATCTCGATGATCTCGGCCTGAGATGGCTGGTCAGGATGCTGCAGAGCCTTTTCGCTGAACGTCGTCCCCATAATCGTATACACATAGTCGTAAAATGTACTTGTCTCGGCGGCCCCACTATCCATACATCTTCTCAGCTCTTCAAGATCTTTCTTGGATGCATCGGGTTCTTGGGAGTAGTTGCTACAGAACCACCAAGACAAGAACAGCTTCGTGAACGCGAGAATCTTTGGCATGTCTCGAGGAAGGACGCCTTGCAGCTTCGCTTCTCTTCTGCACAACATACCGATGCATGCTCTGATCTCTTTGATCAGATTGATCTTTCCAACAAGGCGAATTCGATTACGAATAACTTCGCGATCATTGAACTTCATTTCGTAGATGACTTTTGAGACCACGCGCTTACGGTCAAGATGCTCGACCAAATCTTCCCATTTCCAGCGGCGAACTGTAGCGATCGAGGCGTTCTCAGGCTCATCTCCATGGTTAATAGGTGGACGGGTGGACAAGCCGTCAGGCTCAAGAAGCCCTGGGTGCGCATACATGATTGGCTCTACGCTGTCGGCGATGACAGAGTCTCGTGTCGATGAATGTGTCAGGTCTTCGAGCGGATCAGCTTCAGCACCAATATTGATTCCTGACGGCAATGCATTTCCATCTTCGATGTCTGACGAATCTGGGGGTGAACCCAAATCAATAATCTCATTTCCCGGCTCTATTTGAAGAGATGATGCAGTCCGTGGTATATTCGGTTGGTCGCGCATCGCGGTGTCTTGATCGTCAGGTACTTGCTCTTCATCACTGTCGTCAACGGGTTCCAGCTTGTAGATGTCGCGTAACCAGGCTGCAAATTCCATGGAGTCGACCGTGACCTCGAGGTTGCTGCATTGTCGCCGTACTTGCTCCTGCAGTATGTCACTGTTAGTGAAGACGTCTTATCTACTGTCAGGGTGTTGTTTCTTACCGCATTGCGTCCTGGGAATTTGACGATCTGGTCACACAATTCATCCAGTCTTGACTTATAGTAGAGATGCTCTGTCTCGTACGTTTTCGCTAGGGCTTCTCGCTCTCCTTTAGCCTCCGCTTCAGTCCACATAGCGACTGGGTCGTAGTCCACCTCCTCGCCGCGAGCAACACCCTTGTTTGGTCTCCAGGCGTTTGTGAAGACCTTAATTCGATCGTTGATAATGTCGACAATCTTGTCCTCACTCAACTTGGTCCGCTTGCTCGTTTCTTCAACTGCAGCCTCATCCTCATCGTCGACTGATCGAGAATCCTCTTCAGCAGCATCCCCCAGCCCGGAATTATCATCCTCTTGTAGGTCGTCCTCGTCAGGCAAGTCTATGATCTGGTCACCTCCCGCCACATTCTGCCATCTGAGTAGATGAGCATAATCGTCCATGTTTGATAGCGCTGGATGTGAGAGCCCGGTGGCTGCCGTGTTTGATGTTTGATGATGGCGAGAGATGCGAGATGTTTGCTACAGCAATCGCGGATTGGGCGCCGCGTAGAAGGTGGGGCACCTGTCTAGGCAAGTGCGCGCTGTCACTTGATCACGCGACGAGGGGCAAGCATCACCAAGGCCATCACAATTCACGGTGAAGGTAGTTGGCAATGATTGCTGTCACGTTGAGAAGCCGCCAAACATTTGCTTTGAAATGCGCGACCAGGGTTTTCTGGTGCGCCTCGGGCTTCGGCGGGGCAGGATGAGGCAATCGCTCTAGCGCCGACAGCATTTGTAAGTCTCTCTCTTACCTGAGCGATCTACTCTTCTAACGACACCGAAACAACTCAGCCACCATGAATTCAATGTCGCTCACCGAATACCCACCAGAGCTGTCTCAACAGGAGGAGCAGTATCTGCTATCCAACCTCAAGGACTGGTCGATTGCTCATGGCTTAGCGGTACGCCCGGCTCCGTCATTCGTCCAGCCATCACAGGATCCGTCTGGTGTACTCGCAAGCACAGCACCAGTCACCTTGTTTCCAAGCTTATTCCCACGATCCTGCTTCGAGGAAGGGCTTTCAATACAACAGGCTTACAATGAGTTGTACTCAGCCATTGCCAGAGACGAGACGTGGTTGAAGAGCATCGTGGAGGAGCTTGTCCACGTTGACGACTTTGTTGCAAAGTTATGGCAAACCCATCTAGAGGTTAAGAAAGAAGGCTATGTGCAGGAACTCTCGTTGGGACTCTTCCGCTCAGACTACATGGTACATCAAGACCCTTCGCAGTCAAATCCAGCGTCCGGCTTGAAACAGGTCGAGTTCAATACAATTGCTTCGTCTTTTGGTGGACTATCGGCTCAAGTTTCTGCGTTACACAAGTACCTGCTCACGATCGACGCTTACCCAGATTCAACATCATCCATTATCAAGCAAGAGGCTTTGCGACAAAGCCAGTCAGCTTCTTCCTTGGCAAAGGGCCTCGCTACAGCACACAAGGCGTACGGGACTTCGCGCACCAAGCGTCCCCTATGCGTGCTGTTCGTGGTGCAAGACCCAGAGCGAAATGTATTTGATCAGAGACATCTCGAATACGCCCTCCTTGAAGATAATGGAGTGCGCTCCTTCCGACTACCTTTCGGAGAGACACTGTCTCACACTCAGCTCGACACAGACCGTACACTGGTCTACACACCACCAAACTCTCCCTCGACGTCGTACGAGGTGACGACAATTTACTTTCGAGCAGGGTACTCACCAGATGATTACTCAAAGGACGAAGACTGGAACGCCCGCACTCATCTCGAGAAGAGCCGTGCCATCAAGTGCCCAAGCGTCTTGACCCAACTTGCGGGGTGCAAGAAGGTTCAGCAAGTCCTTGCTACGCCGCATTCACCGCACCTCAAGCGCTTCCTACCCGATGAAAAGGTCGCCGCGCGCGTGCTAGAGACTTTTGCGCCCATCTATCCGCTCGACAACAGCGAGGCTGGTGAGGAAGCGAAGAAGCTTGCGACGGACGCCTCTTCGGCCACAAAGTATGTGCTGAAACCTCAGCGAGAAGGAGGAGGAAACAACATTTACCGGAAAGCCATTCCACCATTTCTGCAGAAGCTCCCGGAGACTCATTGGCCGGCATACATCCTAATGGAGATGATCGAGCCACCTCCACTGACAAACGCCATCCTCCGGAACGGTGAGTTGCAGAGGGGTGGCGTGATTTGCGAGCTTGGAGTGTACGGCGTGTGCCTCTGGAGAGACGGAAATGGAGACGGAAACAAGGGCGACATCCTCGAGAACTGGGAGGCTGGATATCTACTCCGCACCAAAGGTGATCAGAGCGAGGAGGGCGGTGTGGCAGCGGGATTCGGAGCAGTTGACAGCTGTTGTCTGGTGGACGGATGAACACACCGTTGAGCACGTACTGTATGCGCAGCTCGCTACAGCTGGCAAGTTGGTAGGAGCCTTCGGTTAAAACGGTATTCTGAAGCCGTTTGCATGTTCGATCGATCTGAACCAGGAATAAACGATGTGATGCGATGTGTTATACACTGATAGTGTCAACTTCTCACAGCGCATCCAGCATCGATACGTTCCCACTACCCCCAATCTGCATACTACCGTGTCCATCACTCCTTTCTTGTCAAAACCTAGTTGTGCGTATTGGATGATGGACATCGAAGCTGGATCTTGTAACTCACAGAGGTGCTTGCGCCTCAACCCGGAAGCTTTTTGCATGTATTGCCAATCTTACGGGACCCACTATAGTTTTGGAACCACGTGCAGACCTCCAGGCTACCATGCCAAAACTCCGAGTAGGATCTGTGCAGCGACCTATGTGAAACAGATGACGGTGCGATGCCTCGACAATGAGGCGCAAGCAGATAAACGTCAAATGTGTGACTTTGAAGAATTGCAGCTGTGAGAACTGTCTGAAGGTGTCGTGAAACTAGTGACAGGAGGTAAGCCGATAGCTCGAATCGCTAGTGCTAACGTCAGGAAGCACGGAAGTGATTCCCACGCGAAGGTTCGCTCAGAACTGGATCGTCGGCAATGCGCACGGCTGCTTGCAGATCTGATGGAGCATCGGTTACAGGAGATGCCGTGCCAGTCACATCATCACTCCCTTTCGGGCAACGCGATGATGAACTTTTTGCTTCGATCCAGACTACATATCCCTCCGCCTCGGGGAGCTGAAGAAAAATGAAAGATCTTACAGATAACGATAGTTGGAGGCTTGAACCTTGCGGGCGGACTACGGGCTGAGGCTCACTGGGCTGCACGTTGGCACGTTGTTATGTGAGGAGCGCCCTTGCGGAGGGTCTTTATGCACGCTGCGGCAGCTTATGCATGGGCACGTAGCGAGACCCCTGCCTGCGGAGTTGGCAGCCCTACCTACGAATGGCTGCACCTCAGCTCACGACGCGTTCGACGCGTTCTCCTTCATCAACATCTCACTGGATGACAGCCGCCATGTGCCTGCTTGGCGAACGTAATCACCAACTCATCTCGCATATGTGTGTGCAGCTCGCTGGGAACCCGCAGCGCGCGCCTCCATGGCATTATCGACGGACGGCACTCGGCAGCCTCAAACGCCTCATGGCATGTCTGGTACGGCTGTCTGGCACCGGGTAACGTCCGAACTCCGCTCTCAAGTGTCAATACTAGATGAGGAATATAGGCTACTGAACTATACTTGTTTTGCCCTAAAGCACCTGGAGGCGTTGCTCGCGAAAACGTTAGAATGGCTGGTGGCTGCCATTGCAATCTTAATTTCAACCTTTCCAAGGACCACACCACACCCGTTGCAGTATGGGTTATCCCTAAAGGAGCCGCCGTTTCTGACGCCGCCGAGCTCGATGGGCTCCTGGGCTCTGCTTTTTTCCTTCATTGCAGGAACAAGGCCGTGCTCGCTAAGCCTCTCGCTTTTTGCAACCTGCGGGAGGAGGCGTCGATCTCCTGTCTAGGCTATGCTGGCGCTCACCCATGTGGCTTCTCTCGTCTGATATATGCCCAGGTGCGCCTCCACCTTCCGTTTACCTGCTTTCTGCATCTCGTCTGCACCACTTGCATATCCTGCATTCGCGTATTGGCCGTTTGTGCCTACCACACTCCTTCTTCATTCGCTCTTTTTACTACTAGTAATCCGATCTCGCTCCTTGAAACAGTCTTTACCACGTCGATTTTTGCTCTTTCGACATCTTTGCTCGTGCGTCATTGTTGCAGACACCACCTCGCTGCATATCAGGAGTCGCGCTTTCCTCTTCGAGTATCCTCGGAGGACCGTTCAGACGCGAATTCCAATCCTAATCGTAATTTCTCCATGGCATTTGGCTCTTTGTAGACACGTCTACACCGCATAATCGCCATGCGCTTTTCTGGTCACTACTTGGTTCTCTGTCTTGCGCTTGTTCTATGCCTACAGTTTGCGGTGGCGGCTCCTCATGCTGCTGTCCGTAGACAGGATGACACTCCTTCCGCGGAGTCGACGCGTGAGGCTCAGGACAGTGCGTCTCGAGAGCCTTCTGCCACACCCACCCCATCGGGAATAATCTCTTCGAGCATTGAGTCTGAACGTCCTTCATCGACTGAAGCTTCCTCGGTCAAGCCATCAGAGACACCGGCACCGAGCTCCATCAATGATGTCCCTACTACGACTCCATCTGATGATGCTACTCCAGCAGAGTCTTCTGGTAAGTTATGTGGTGAGAAGTATTATGAGATAGCTAATAATGTAATGTAGAGAGTGCCTCCGCGGACCCCAAAAACCCACTGCCCATTCACCCCAAGTTGACCCCCGCTATGGGCGTCACTGGAGTGCTATTGCTACTCAGTGGATTAGGATATGCCATTATTGGTATCAAGAACAAATGGTATGTACATCGACACCCATCTACCAATCTGTACTGACAAAGAGAAGGGTATACGTGTTCGGGTCTGCTGCCTACCTGACCGCTCTCGCCGTCACTGTATTGATAGTATACTTGATGAACCCTCCCGTCTCGGATGCCATCCAGGGAGCCTTCTTCGTGGCGGCCTTCTTCACTGGAGTGATCTTCGGAGTCCTGTCGTTGGTCTTTGCAGACATTGCCGAAGGTTTTGGCTGCCTACTTGGTGGCTTCTGCTTAAGCATGTGGTTCCTCAGCGTCAAGGACGGTGGCCTGATCACCTCAGGAACTGGTCGTGCCATCTTTATTGGTTGCATGTCAGCTGGAGGCTACTCGCTTGCGTTCAGTCACTACACACGTAACTACGGTCTCATCGCATCAATCGCCTTCTCCGGAGCCACCGCTGCCATCCTCGGTATTGACTGCCTGGCTGGTTCCGGCTGGAAGGAGTTCTGGCTTTACCTCTGGAGTAAGTTGCCGCGCACCATTTGCAGACTATTGCTAACCTCTGCAGACCTCAACGATGACATCTTCCCTCTTAACACCAATACTTACCCGGTTACCAAGAACA